TTGGACAAGAGGCATGGACTCTCTGAAGTCTTGAGGTCTACTGAGAGCATGATAAATATGGTTGATAACAATATGCTATATTTTAAAAGTTGTGAGATAGTATACTTTAAGTGTTCTCAAAACAAAAATGATGAATATGTGTGATATAACATGTTAATTGGTTTAATTTAGCCATGCCATTGTGAACATACTGTATTCTGTATCATAATTGTGCATGACTTTATTTATGAACTAAATAAATGAATGGAAAAAATATTTTTGTATGTATTTACCTGCGTGAAAATAAAGAAACAACCTAAATCACAATTAAATAAGCACTTCTAAACTTACTGTTATTCTGCTAAAGGAGCACAGCAGTAAAGTGAGTTCCAAAGGGATACTGCTACACCACAGATCACTGTGGCACTCAACCCCCAGAAGCTTCTTCTTGCAGTGGATGGGAATTAACAGATACTCACAGATGGACAATGTGCAGAGTAAGAGACTTGGAGCACTGGTCCCAAAGGAATGTGTTTATCAAACTTTTCCCCTCAAGGCTCAGGGATCTATGTGGAAGAGGAGGTAGAAAGATGGTGAGAGCCAGAGGTGGGGATGACTCCAAGGGAACAGCATTTCCACACACAATAGGGCTGATGCACATGTGAACAAAAAGAGACAGTGACAGTTTGCACAAGACCTGCGCAAGGTGAAGCCAGACAAAATCCGAACATGAGAAGAGGGATGGGCACAGATCTGACTCCCTGTTTGTGCCTTTTTAGCATGTTTTTTTTTTAATTCTTCTAAGAGAGAAAGAACATGAAGTTGAGTGGATGGGAGATAGATTTAAGAGGATGTGTGGGAGGAGAATATGACCAAACTATATTGTATGAAATTCTCAATAAATAAATAAAAACATAAAAGGGCACGTCTAGAGTTTGAAATGGCAAAATGGAATAGTTCTCCATTTTTGTCCTTAATGGGAAATTATTAGTTTGATATTAGCATTAAAGATAAAACCAGAAATACATCTTCATACCTTTGCAATAGCAATCTCACTTCTAGGAATCTCTGGCAATATCATAAAGAGAGACGTGGTCCAGCATTCTATGTCAGAGTGTTCTTTATTAACATTTTTAAAGGTGGAAATAATCTGAGTGTTTAATTTAGCTTATTCAAGTGATAATTTATTTACTATAGGTTAAAATTATGTTCTGGACAATAAAGATAGGAAAATGCCCAAGTTATAATATGACATAAAAAATTAAACTATAGCCCTAGCTCAATTAGGAAAGAAAGAAAAATAAGAGAGTTGTATGAATAGGACATTTAAAAAGTGAAAACCCTCCTAAAATGCCATTAGTGGTCATTTCTGGATGATGAGACTCCATGGGTTACACTGGTTCTTTATGATTTTTAGGTATTTCCGAATAAACAAATACAGAAGCACTGTAAACTTTGCAGAAGGTTTTTACTCCTTGTTCTCATGAGCAATTCTCTTTCTAGTAAACCCCTAAGTGCTTACTGATGAGAATATGTTCTGAGAAATGTATCATCAGGCAATTCCAACACTGGGCATGTAGAAATGTACTTACACAAACCTACATGGTCTAGCCCATTGCACACTCAAGCAGTGATACAATATAGTCTATCATATACATGGTTTGTCATTAGCCAGCATGTTACATGGCACATGGCCATATATCTGTGAACTAAGTAGGTGCCAATCTGTCCTTTCATCCCCCAAAGACTTGTTGGAATTAAGCCACCGCATATTTTCTTTATTGTCTTTGAGTGAGACTATGTTGAATCAGGCTAATGAAGAGGATACTGTCAATCATGCTTTTGTATAGATTTTTTTTTTTTTTTAGAGAACAAAAAATGAGCTACTTTCAGAAACCTTCATTTCTAATTATTATACTTTACACACTGGAAATTCAAGTTGGCCATTAAACCAATAAAAACTTCTACCTATCTATATGGTCACTGTTGAGAAGGTCAAACAAATTCAACCTGAGACTGTTCATGTAAAGAAATCTAAAGAGTTTTCACACACACACACACACACACACACACACACACGATATTTTATAGTACCTTTGGGACTTCAAGTAGTCTTTTGAAACTGGTCAGACAGAGCATAAAAAAGGCACGAGGAAGCTGGGCAAGGAGGACATGCTCACAGTTCCAGCTTCTTGGGAAGGCTGAAGCAGGATTCCCTGGCCGGGGAGACTGTGGCCATTCTGGGCAACACGGCTGTGCAGATAGTTCTTGTGTTAACATGACACAAGCCAGGAGAGAGGAATCTTAATCAAAAAATGCTCCCATGGGAGTGGCCTGTGGGCAAGCCTGTAGGACATTTTCTTGATTAATGATTGATGTGGAAGGACCCAGCTCACTGTGGGCAGTGCCACCCTGGGGCAGGTGGTCCTGGATTGGCAGAAGAAAGCAGACTGAGCCAGCCATGGAGAGAAAGCAAGCAGCCATCCTCCATGGTGTCTTCATGAGGGCCTGCCCTGAGCTCCTTTAATGATGGACCGTGGTGGGGAGGTCTGAGCTGAAATAAGACACTTTGCTCCCCACATTACTTTTCAGTCAGGGTGTTTTACCACAAAAACAGAGACCCTAACTAAGACAGCAGTGAAGTCACTTGTCTTAACCAAGCTAGAGTCATTGGGAAGAGGGAGTTTCAATTGAGAAAAAAGCTTCCAACAAGACTGGCCTATAGGCAAGCCTATGGAACATTTTCTTAACTAGTGACCAGTGTGGGAGGGCCCAGCTCACTGTGAGTGGTGCCTACCCTGGGTAGGTGGTCTCAGTTTTATAAGAAAGCAGGCTGAGCAAGCCATGAGAGCTACCCATAAACAGCGTTCCTTGATGGCCTCTGCTTCAGCTCCTGCCTGCAGGTTCCTGCCATGAATTCCTGCCCTGATTTCCCTCAGTGATGGAGTGTGACCTGAGAGCTACAAGCTGAAATAAACTCCATCTTCCCCAAGTTGCTATTGGTCATGGTGTTGTCACAGCAACAGAAACCCTAAATAAAACATCATCTAAGGAAAAAGAAAGTAAGCGTGACCTATGGGCCACAGAAAGAAGTGCAGTGCATTACATTATAACCTGCACTGAGCTGTACTACAATGGATGCTGGAGCTCTGAAACCCTTAGGATCCATCAGTTATGGATAATAGCTGTAACGTTTGCTTTCTGCAATGACCCAGACTTACAATTCTTCTAAGCAATAGATAGCACTCTTGCACAAACAAGTATGGGGACCAGTGGTTCACAGTTAACACTGACTGGAGCTAGATGAACACTGTATTATCCAGGACGCTCATGTGAGAAATGTGCTCAGCTCCGTTTTGTTTGCCAAAGTGTAGGACAGTCTGAAATTGTTTTCCTTCCGGTGAAGAGGGCTATGTCCCAGCCTCTCTCCTTCCCCTGGAAACACGGTAAGACACTTCACTGACAAAAGTTTCAAATACTTTTTTTTTCCAGGAAATCATATATTTATACATGATCGCAGCCTAAAATATATTATAAAATAAAAATACTGTACACTTGTGCTTAAGTAATTCTAAAGTAGAAATTTTTATTGACTGACACCATTGACTGATTGTATCCACAGGGGAATGCAGTTTCTGATTTAAAAAGTCAGATTCCCACGTAATACTCATTACAGGTGTTTTCATTCACAATCTGAATATGTCTCCATACTGTAAAGTGCACTGTAATTAATTTGCAATAGTATATATAAACCTAGACGATTATTAAATCATTACAGTCAGAAAAAGTCAAGCGGGCAGAGCAAGAGGATCACACTGGAATTAACTTATAATAGTACTGCACCATTTTAGATTTCCTTTTAGGATTATATCTCAAGCAAAATAAGACAAATGTCAAAACATGTGATGGCCTGGGGCTGCCTCCCTAATTAAGTAATGTAATTATAAGTTTCCATATTCTGCTAGGGCACACATCCTACCTTCCTTCTACAGACCTTCATTGATCCATGAAAGCAAGATTGAGACAAAGTGATGATGCAGCAATCTGACAGAAGAAGCAATATGGCACTCATTTTTGATTTCTTTCAGTTTTTTCAACAATGGCTCTTGGCTCTTGTGAGGAGAAAGGGTATACCAGAAACCCCAGTGCTCTTATTATGATCTCCCTTCACTGGTATTTGCTTAAGAAGTGAAAAGTCATATTAAAATAAAGTCAGAGTCCTCTAAGAAATATACACGGGCAGTTTCTCTTCAGTGCAAAAGAGTGAGGTGGCAGGAATGTGATGGAGAAGCCGGCCTTCAAGAGCATCATGTGAGGGAATCCAGCTGTGCTTGTATGGTCTCCAGCTAGTTACAAAGACAAAGATAAAGACAGCAAGTTAGTGAAGGGAAACAAACCATGTAAAATGCTTAGAAACACAAAAGCCAAAGGGAAGCAATGGCAGCAGGCACTCCGCACACTGCACCCCCACACAGGGCATAACGGTAACACTCAGGCTGCTTTTCTTGCTATGTAAAGATGTTAGGATTTAGGCTTGTCATTTAATTTTTTACATTTATGAAGGAGGAAGACTTCTAAGTATTACTGTCTTAAGTGCACTCAGCTATTTCTTAGTAAATTATCCCCATATGGTCAGACTTTAAAGTTTGGTAGTTAATGGGATGCATTTTCCTGGGGTACAAAAATCAGTATTTGGAAAGCAAAATGAAATATGAATAAAAGATAGATCACTAAAATCTGGAAATCTGGCAGTTTCCTTCTACCCTTTGGCCCAGCCACTGAAGTACTTCAGGGATCTATAACTGACGACCGGTGGCTACAGGGGCACAGTACCCTGCTCATTTTTCAGGAGGCACTAATCCTAGATCTTTAATTAAAACCATTCCATTTTCTTTGTGATTTAGTTTTCAGATTCTCAGCCATTCCATTTTCTTTGTGATTCAGTTTTCAGATTCTCCTTATCTTGGTTCTGCCTAGGAAGCTACTGTGAGATACAAGGCATTTACAGGAGTTTGAAGAATCTGGCTATACAGTAAGGCATTCAAAAATAAAAATTTATAAAACCAAGAAGTGTTGGGAAATATCTACATATCAGAAAACATTAAAAAAACACAGACCTTGTTGTAGAAATCAAATAGCTCCTTGTGATTGAATTCCACTAGAACCTTCTCCAGGTTCTGTAAAGAAAAAAAACAGGGGGAAAAATAATTCAGTTGTATGAAATTTACATTGCATTTTCCACTTTCCAGCTAGCCTAGGAATATGGGATTCCTAGAGCTCACAAAGTCATTTGGTAACATTGGACCTGAGCAAAAGGTTTCAACTCTACAGGGACAATGACTCAACAAAGGTTAATAAAATATATGCTAGCAAGAGAACAATTTAATTACCTTTTTTCAAGACAGAGATAATACATGAGATTATATTTCATCTTTCTCAGCAGTCCATTTAAAATCTAGTAAATACCATTATGCAGCATTGGAGGTGGCGTATCTGATTGAACTCACCCAGCCATTAGTGGCTCACATGGGCCCAGCCTCTGCCTCCAAGTACTACCCTAACAGTTACCATCTTAACATGCTAAGATCGTTGCCTTCCCTAATGTACAAGGGCAGCAAATGCCAATAGTTAACATGACAGTTTCAAAGCTGGACTTAGTCCTCTTAGATTCACCTCATATGCTTTGGAGAAACCATTCTGAGTGCTGCAGAGAAACACTGTATCTACAGTGATGTAGTAAAGTGGATCCCTGTCCAATGCAACCTAACCAGCTGAAGCACCAATCCATAACATTGCTAAGAACTGCTAAGAAGGGCTGACTTTAGCCAAGATTCCCCCCGAGGAAGCGAAAACAATGGCAGAATGCTAAGAGTCTGCCACCCATGCTGCTCCCTCTGCTCTTCCCTGGTGATGCAGAGTGAGCATCGTGACTGCAGGGGTGAGAAGCCTGCTGTAAACAGACATTAGTTATGGTACCTAACCCTGGTCAATTTCACAGCATCAACTCAATTCTTAGCTTCCATGTTGTTCTTGTGAAAAATCTCTTTCGATGGTTTCCATTATAACAAAGTCAAAATTTTCAAGCCAAGTTATCTCCAGCTAACTCTTAGGTCAGTGGGGCTATGCTCAGAAACAGAAGCCCAAGCACACAGGACCAACTTGTACAGTTCTTCATTTTCTCTCTTACACACTTAAGCCTTAATGAATGGGAAGCCTGTCACCTGTGTGGCCCAATCCTTTAGGAACGGTATAAAGTATGAAGGTCAAGAACTGTATTAGACAAATTATTCAGATAATTGGCATACATTATTAAACATGCAGACATTTAGCCAGCGTGAGATAGTGATACAATTATATTCTCTCTGAAGTTATAAAGGGGTTTCTTTATAACTTCTCACAGCTCCACATCAAACATACGAGGAAATAACAGAAAACAACTGTGTGAGTAATATATTTACATAACCCTAAACCCAGCACTAAGTTGCGTTGTGTTTTGCTTTGCTCTGTTTCAAGGTGGTGTTTCCTAAAATGTTACACTAAGAGAAGGAATAATAAAGCATGCTTAACTTGACAGTGTGCGACATACTAGAAAATTTGAAGCCCCCCCTTCTTCTACAAAGGCACTGAACAATCAAAACACAGACAAGAATACCCATAAGAACCCTAGATACATTAGTGCATACCACTGCAATAACTACTATTGAAAATAAATACCGGAAATGACAAGCGAAGATATGTGGAGAAACCGGAACCCTACACACCAGTAGTGAGACTACAAAGCGGTACAACTGCCACAGGAAAGTCTGGGGCTGGAGAGGTGGCACAGCAGTTAAGAGCACTGGCTTTTCCAGAGGTTCTAAGTTCGGCTCCCAGCATCCATTTCAGGTGAGTCACAACTACCTATAACTCCAGCTCCAGCAGACAATGACGTCCCCCGGCCTCCAAGGATACCTGCACTCATGAGCATACCTCCCCTGCAAACACATAATTAAAAATAAAAACCTTAAAAAGAGCAAAAAGGTTCTTCAAAAAATTAAGGCTAGATGGCTTGGCTGTTATGAGTGACACTTCTCTCAGAAGAGCCGAGCTCAGTTCCAGTAGAATGGAGATTACCAAGGTTGTGTGGGGGTAGTATTTTCTTTATAAAAATATGTATAGAGATTCAGATGAGCAGGTGAAAAGGATCTGGATGTCATTTTACAGCAAGAATGTAAGGAACAATTCCAACTGTGTACTCAAAGTTGTGAAGACGGTATATTTTATATCTTATTAAAAATTTTAAAAATTACAGATATGAATGTTTTGCCTACATGTATGACCATGTACCATGTGTATGACCATGTACCATGAGCATGTCTGGTGTCTCTGGGAGACAGAAGAAAGTGTCTGGTCTCCTGGAATGGAGTAACAGACAGTTGTTAGATGCCAGGTAACTGCAGGGAATTTAAGCTGGGTACTCTGGAAGAACAGTCAGTGTTCTATTGCTCAGCCATCATTCCAGCCCTGTCTTTTAAAAGCAAAACAAGACAATTTAAATCTAAGTACATGCATGGGTGTGTGTATATAAAATTTTATTGTCTTGCTTTCTGAAACGTTTAGACAAAGACATAACAATTCTGATACGTGACGTAAAGCATGCAGAGAAGCTGTGTCTGTGCCCAGGCTAACTCGAAGCATGCATTGCCACCTCCACATCCTTCCACTACAGTGGCTAAGACGAGACCAGGGAGAATATGGACCTGGCAAATTTTATGTCTATGGTGACAAGCTGGTTTGTAGAGAAGGAAGAATGGAGTGTAGGTGTCTAAAATAAAGCACAAAGGATTGCTGGCCTGGGCAGTTCCATACACCGCCATGTTCTGAAGTGAAATTCCACAGAATCCAAGAATTTTAAAGTAAAGTCTCCTTTTCCAGACACCATGAAAATACTTTACCAAGTAAGAAAAACAGAATGTAGTCTTGCTAAGCTTGGGAGTTTTAGTGACTTTTAAGTTCAGACACACATTTGCCCTCCATTGTTCCTATGATCAAAAGCTATCCTGTGCCCAACAAGTCTCAAGGAGGAAACTGCTCCTAGTGATGGCAGACATACAGCTAGAAAGATCAAGTTTGCTTACCCTACCAGAATAGACCAAGCTCTCTTTCACTCTAGGCTGTATGGAAGTTCTGTCCATGAAGGGAGAAAGCTTTCAAATGGTGTCTCTCCATTTTAATTTCTATACAAACTGATAAGTATCCTGACCCAACCAAAAAGAAAGAAGATCATTTATATTCAAGGAGAACTCAAGAGTTAGTATTTTGGGGTAACTGGATGCCTAACTTCTTTGCCTCCACTTTACATCCTTGCGACTTTTGAGTCAAATCATGGTTCACTATCATCTCTGCTGAGAAAGGAGGGGAAAAATGTTGAAACTTAACTGTCATCTCAGTACCATCAACTGTAACAATGGATTTTGTGGAGGAAAATAATAGAAATGCCCAGCTGATGTTGGACTGAAATTAGATGAGGGATTCTCCACCTGCATCCTGTCTATCACTGTCACCAGAGAGTGAATGGCTGTCCTGTCACCAAAGGAGAACAGCCTTTTTGGATGCATGGACCCAACAGCTGCTCAGAATGAGAACACAGCATAGGCAGCAGGCTCCCAGGCGTATGGAAACACCATGGAGTCCTATGTTCCACTTGCGCAAACTCCCCCATCATTTCAATTCAAGCTCTGTCATGGGCAGAATCGCATCCCCCTCAAACTCACACAGTGGAACACTTTTTGAAGCTCACGATGTAAGTGAATCTGTGGACAGGAACTGGAGAAGTTTGGAAGTGTGGGCCCTAGCCCAGCATGGCTAGTACACTTAAAGCAGGGTGACCAGAGACACAGAAGGTAAATGCAATGTAAAGACCACAGGGGGAAACCCCTCATTTTCTAGACCAGAAGAGAGCCTTGGAAGCTCAATTATCCACAGCCTGACCTTGGTCTTCTACTTTAGAAGTGTGAAAAATAACTTTGTCCTTAAGTGACACCTGTGGCACTTTGTGACAGCCTGTTATGGCTAGATCATGAACTATTCCCCCCTCCCCCTAGGCCCATAAGTTTAAGGCTTGGACCCCAGCTGGTGGTCCAACTTTGAAGGATAGTGAAACTTTGTGGGGCAGGCTTCCGGGAGCTTGTATCTTGTCCTTGCCCCTTCTTGTCTCTTTCTTTATGACTTGCTACTACAATGACATAAGCAACCTCTACCAAAAATTTCATAGCTGAGACTCAGAGCAACTTCGGACTGATATATTTGAAATTATGAATGAAATAAATGTTCCCCCCCTTTAAGCTGTATTTCTAAAGTATTTTGTTATATAAACAAAAACCAAAATTAAAATAATAGACTAATAGCCATAGAAAGATAATGTAGGCCCTACCATCTCTTTCAGAGATTAAAATACAAATCTTATCCTTTTTTTTTCCTCTCTGTGTAGCCCTGGCCATCCTGGAACTTGCTCTGTAAACCAGATTGGCCTCAAACTTATAGATCCACCTGCCTCTGCCTCCCGAGAACTGTGATTAAAGGTGTGAACCGCCGCCACCCGGCAAAAATCTAATTCATTTTTTTAAAAACTTTTTAAAAATTTAAATTAGAAACAAGTTTCCTTTACATGTCAATCTCAGTTCCCTCCCCCTCCTCCCCTGCCCCCCCAACCCCTTATCCCAACCCCTTTCTGCTCCCCAGAGAGGGTGAGGCCTTCCATGGGGGGGGGGTCTTCTGAGTCTGTCATATCATTTGGAGCAGGGCCTAGACCCTCCCCAGTGTGTCTAAGCTGAGAGAGTATCCTTCTATGTGGAGGGAGATCCCAAAGTTCATTTGTGTACTAGGGGTAAATACTGATCCACTACCAGTGGCCCCATAGATTGTACAGACCTCCAAACTGACTTCCTCGTTCAGGGTATCTAGAACAGTCCTATGCTGGTTTCCCAGCTATCAGTCTGGGGTCCATGAGCAACCCCTTGCTCAGGTCAGCTGTTTCTGTGGGTTTCTCCAGCCTGGTCTTGACCACTTTGCTCAC